CAGATCTAGAGACCGAAGTCAAGATAGATGGGACCCAGATCTAACCACTCACTATTACTCTACTATCAAAATATCAACATGGCTGAAAAGCAACCTGCCTCTAATTCTAATAATTAGAAAAGATTGTTAGACAACTATTCTATTAGAACTGCTTTAACCACCTATATCACTGAAGCCAATAGGGAAAATACCAAACCTCAACCTATTAGCACTATTACTTCTGTTAAATTCTATATTGATATCCAAGATCATACTTACCCTGCTATTATTGATAGTGAAGCCTTTGTTAGTATGATCTCACACCAAACTGTAAAAGAATTAGATCTTAAAATTGAGAAGCCATCAAAAAGTCTTATTGTCACTGCTACTAGCACCATCTTCAGATCTCTTGGAATTATTAAAAATTTGCTTATTAGGATCCAAGGTCGACTAATTCTCTTGGATATAGAAGTTGTACCAGCCACTTCTTACTCTATTTTGCTTAGAAATGATTGGTCAAAGAAAGTAGAAGCCAATTATAATTGGAAAACATGTCAATATACTCTCTATTGGAAAGGAAAGAAGATTGTTCTTGATACTTCTTATGAGCAAGAAAAGCCTAAAGAAAAGAAACCAACCTGTACTACTGCTAAAGACTTTGAATTATATGAGCAGGAATATTTAATACCTCATGAAGCTTATGTATTTTTAGTATTCTCAGAAGATGAAGACCAAGGATAGACTATCTACCAACCCTGACGAAGAAAACCACCTTGCAAAACCTGTAGTCAAGCTAACCACCAGTACAAGGATTGCCTCAGAAATTAATATTATTATTGCAACAAATTTGAACATATACTTATTAACTGCCTCAACAAACGTGAAAGGTTAAATAACTATAGAACTTGTAGATAAACTGCTCACTTGTTTAAGGATTGCCCAGATAACCAATATTATAGCTGTGATAAATTTGGCCATATTGAAATTAACTGCCTCTTGCCCAACTCAAGCTTGACAATTTAACTTACAAATGTTGTTGTAACAAAGACCAAATAGAAGAAAGAAGAATGACCTACCATAGTAGAAGGAGAACCCATCATTGTTGTAATTGTTGTATACTTCAGCAACTTGACAAACTATACAAATTAGAAGAAAAACTTGCTTGTACTGCTTGTTATAAAACTTACTATAAAGCTCTTAACCCAGAAGACCCCAGAAGCTAGAAATATTATGATACAGGACTTGGTAGAAGAACTCTTGTCCGATGCAAACTTTGTAATATTCAGAAACCTAGATCAAGAATGCATAATATAGAAAGCATATGAGAAGCATTGTAGTTCTGTGAATTAGAACACATGTATGCTTATAAAATCTTTACAGATCTTTAATATAATCCAAACTATGAGATTTGGAACAGAATCAGGCACTATACTGAGTCTACTAGGAATGCTGAATATCAGTATGATTTAAATCAAGATAGAATTTACTGTCTAGTTAAAGTTTTACTCAATGAAGAATATAGAAATATAGAAGCTATGGAAGAGCAAGAAGATGATAGATATAACTGAGAATGGACCCCTGAAGAAATTACTATCCTATTTCAAGCAGAGCAAGCATTGCTTACAGAAGAAGAAAAGGCTACTTTACAACAAATTCTAAATGAATCTTTTAACATCTCAACCCAATTTTGATACTCGTAAAGCAATTGAAAACCTAAGGAAAAATTTTGAAAAAAAAGTAGCTCTTTGCCAAGAGTACTTCTTTGCTAAACAAAGTACTGAGCTAGAAGCTAACCAAGGTCTATGTGATAAATATTATCAAGAAAAAAACAAACCCCCTCCTGTTGAAGAAACAATTACAGAAGAGATATACCAAGATAATATTATTACTACAGAATAGCCTATAAAAGAAATACACCTTAATGATACTATTATGGTAAAAAGACTTGAAATAAGTAAGAACACTATTTTTGAGGAGAGGAAGGATGAAGAAAAAGACCAAGTTATTGCTTGATTAGAAGCCAGAGTTCAATACTTGGAAGAAAATTTTGAAAAGATAATAGAATTTTTCCAACAACAAATTTAATACTACCAGGAACGAGCTAAGTACTATGCTCATATGGCCTTCACACAGCAAAATTTTTGAACTATCCTAGACAAGATGAAAAACTATCTAAAGATTTAGAAGAATTACCAACAAAAGAAGAAGCTTTGCAACAGGCCTTGCAAGCTAATACTCTTAAGTACAATTTTGTATATACTATAGACACTTTAATTCCTTATGAGGAATACACATTAGAAAAGACAGACACTGTAAATGTAGAACCACTTACAAAAGAACAAGGACAAGCATTCAAAATCTTGTTAGAAGAATTTGCTAATCTGTTTGCTAAAGATATTACAGAACTTGGCAAAACAGATAAAGTTAAACATAAAATTTATACAGAAGATGTACCACCTATCAAACTATGATCTTATAATGTCCTTTCAGATAAACAAGAGTTTATCAAACAAGAAATCGAACGAATATTAGATAGCAATATTATCTGACCTTCTGAAAGCTCTTGGGCATCACCTGTTGTTCTTGTACGGAAGAAAAATAAAAAATTAAGATTCTGTGTTGACTACAGAAAACTTAACAGTATCACTAAGAAAGATGCCTACTCACTATCTCAGATCCAAGAAATATTAAATGCTCTCTCAGGATCACAATGGTTTTTAACTTTAGACTTAGCTAGTAGATACTAGCAAGTCATGATGGACTTAAAAGATAAAAAGAAAACTACTTTTATTACAAAATATAGTACCTATGAGTTTAATATAATGCTATTTGGATTGTGTAATGCCTCTGCTATTTTCTAATGACTTATAGATCAAGTTTATAAAGAAATTGTTTGGAAATTTGTAGTTGTGTATTTTGATGATACCAATATATATTCTCAAACATT